TAGAATATAATCCACCTTTTAACATGTGCGCTAGCACTAGTATGGGATTGAATGAACCCAAAAAAAAAAGGGAAGGGAGGGGAGGGGAACTTACATTATAGGGAATTGCCTAAAGTACACCGATGAAACGCAGTGGAGCACTTGCCGAACCAGAGGTTGTCTTTCCTAATCAATTACTAGGGTCCATTTTTACATGTGTTTACTATTTAGTGAAATTTTACTTAGCTTAACCACCCCACCCATCCACAACCCCTACTTATTTGGGTACTAGTCAAGTTTTTCTCCTCCTTCTTATTCTATTTATGCCTAGTTAAAAGATTTTTCTAGCAGATATCTAATAGTCACTCGTTAACACATTTAAATAATCACCGACTTTGAGTCAGTGGACACCAAAAAGGGATTGAGTCCCTCTTTGGACTGTACTTTGGGAATTCAAATCCTATTAACAGTGAAAGAATATTCAAAAAAGGTGTCAAAGCACCCCTCCCGTTGGTTTAGTCGAGCATGTATATCTGCTAATCCTTTCTACAATCTCTTTAGGCTCCCCAACCCCTTGTACGGTCTCTTTGATCTCTCCTTCTATGTAGAATGGGATAGATTTTGTTATAAAAAAAGTTATGCTTGCAGCAAAAAAAAAAACAAACACTTAGGTCACATGTTATCTATCATGTAAATGCACACCCTCACTATTATTTCTTAAGAAGTGTCCAATGAACACTTGTGGCAAATTCAACGGGGAGCCATGCCATTACCAGCAGTAAGCCAGCGCAAATATAACTTTAGTATGAAATTTAAGACCCAATAACCTTCTAGATTTATCATTGAATTTTGAGTTGATGTTGTACTGTATAACACTCATATTTATTAGTATATCTCAGTATTTAAATACTTTCTTAAATTAATACTTATTACTCTTGTCGAATAAAAATTAATACCTGAATCTGTTTTAATGTGCATCTCAATAAATAAATCATAAATGCCGCTACATGTGTTTCCAATTTTGCTAAACAACATGCATCCTGCATTTGTTTCGACTCGGAGCCTGGGGCTGTTGTTAATTTAGCCGGCGCCGGCCCGCGTGCCGCGGGATGTGGAATCATGTGCACAACACGTGAGTAGCTGGCACAAAGGGTGTGTTTGGATTGCTTGTTTTCGTCGGAAAATATTATCATTTTTCGTGATCACATTTTTCTATCACCTTTTTTCCTCACATATATCAAATCGCCACAGTAATTTTTCTATAAAAAATAACGAAAAATACAATCCAAACACACCCTTAAAATTCGGTTTCAGGAGAGGAGGAGAAGGAGGAGGAGGAGGTGTGACGTCTATCCGTACGACTCTATCCTTGCGAAACAAAACAGGGATCTTCTTTTTCTTTTGTTTTCTTTTCTTCTCACATCACATCTAGGGTGGTCCGTTGGCTTGTAAATGGAGAGAACTTTACGTCGAAAAATGCCAAAACCAAATGGGCGTTTGGTAATAGGCATGAGCGGTAAGAATAGGCATCTATACCGATTTTTTGACAGTAGCATACTACTATAAGAATCATCGAATAGAAATGAAAGCATTGGATCTTGTTCCCTATCAATTATCATTGGCCACTTATAATTAAAACTATCTTCATTGTATTATATTTTGTGATGCTCGATGCATGTGAAAAAAACACTCGTTGAAAAATATTAAAAAGATAATTTAAAATGCGTTTATAATATGAAAAAAAATTCAAATAATGGACAATCCAAACAAATAATTTTTGTTGATTTGAGAATCACAATTTACAAGAAAGGAATTGAAAGGCGAAATTACTTTGGTACGTTTTTTTTTTTGTAAGCAAGACTCACTCACAATCCATCTTCCTCTACCACCTAACCCAACCCAACGACTCATCATTATACATCAATAACTTATTATCACTTATGAAATGTTCAAAATAGTAATATTTTATTTTGGCTTAGTCAATAAACTACCTTTAATTAGAAGACAATTATATGGGATGTTGTACAGTTTAAAATGTTTTTGATGCTTGTTATGAGCTAAATTAACTAAACAATTTACGAGTACCTCGAATTTAGGTTTTAGTCGAACTCGATTTGACCTAATTTAAATTAGTTTATTTTATTTATTTGAATTTACAAGTGAATTGATTTTGAGTAGTTACTTTTTCAACGAAAAAATCAGAATTAAATTACTAACCCTGAATCACAGGTGTTTACCTCAAAAGCAGGAACTCTTGAGGCCATCTAGGGAACTAATAACCTAACCCTTAACCCCCGAGGATCGACGTGGGATTCTTGTGGTAAGGTGTACTAAAGGTGATTTTGAGTAGTTACTCGAGTATTGCAAATTCATGAGGCTATTGAGCTCGCGAAGAATACTTCATATATTTTTTTATCTGAACATTGATTGTATATGCATCTTGCTAAATAAACTTTTTTAAATCCAACAAGTGCATATTGTACCTAATTCAACTGTACTTTCTCTTAGATCCAACGGGTACATGTTGTATCTATTTGGTTTGATGGCAATTAGTTTCCGTGGATTAGTAATAGATGTAGATATGCGACGATTAGCGGGAAATAAAAGGTGCTGAAACCACAAGCTGCAATATTATTGATCCAACCAAACGTACCCTGATGACAAATTCACCTCTTTCGGCAGACATATCTCCAAACGGAGCCTAACAATTCTTTCCCACCTTGCCAAAGTTCTAGATTATCCAAAAGCCAAGCCAGCTGCAGTGGGTTTTACGGTTTTACTCATCCACAAATCATCATCTAATTCATTCCCACTTTACCAAATTAAGGTTCTAGACTTATCCAAAAGCTAGCTGTAGTGGTTTTACTGACTCGTGCATATCATCATCATCGACAACCCTTCCCATCCACAGATAGAAACCACTTCGCCGAATTAATTATCCAGAAGCCAGCTGTATTAGTTTTTACAGTTTTACTCATCCATCATCATTGACCATCCTTTCCCACCCACAGTAAAAAACCAGCAGGGAAAGAGGGGGGCTGAAAAAAAAAAACCAAAACAAAAACAAAAACTTAGGTACATATAAGACAGGCGCACAGGGGATGGCGATGCAATCCACAACAATATTAAAATGTTTGTCGTTATCCCAGATGTTCCTGTGCAAAAAAACTACCGGATCCCACCCTCCTCCTCTTCCTGTATTGATATTGCAACCCCGCGTTCCCGGTTCCCCCTCCCCCGCTAAACCCCTTCTCCCGCCTCGTTCTCCTGCTCCTGCTAGCCTGCTTACTACTACTAGTTTTACGCAGAAAGAAGAAATAAAACGCCTAGGTCACTGTGTTAAGAACGTCGGAGGGTGGGCGGCTCAGCTCCGCAACCGCCCCCCATGGCCTTCCAGCGACGCCGGCTTCAGTACCAGTACAAAAATCGTGGCCGGCTCTTAATCCCCGCCATTTCCGTCATCTCCGCTGCTCTTCTTGTCTTATTCGTTTTGATCTCGCTACTCGCCCCTTCCCCGACTGATGGAAATGGTCCCCTCCGCCTGCCCCGCCACCGTTCTTCGGTAATCTCTTCAACTATCACTCTCTCTCTCTTGCTCTGCCCCCTCATTTCTATTGCTCTGAGACGCATGCCATAGGTATCTGTGAGAGTTTTATGTAATGCAGGATTTGATAACAATCAGTTTGTTTGTTTGTTCTAGACGGAGACGGAGACTAGGAATAAGGATAGAACTAAGGACGAAGGGAAGGGAGTTCCGAAATTTCGTGTGCCGGTTAGGGTTCTTCTTTTGATCTCTTTTGCTTTGGTTTTCCAGCTTCTTTTTAAAAATTTTGCGGATCCGAATAATATTATGACGAATGCGATGCTTTGTTGGCTATTGGAGATGTAGCCCGCTCGAGGAGCCTATCATCGTGATCTTTGGACTTCGACAAATGCCAAATTCTATCATGGTTGTAGTGATGCCAGCAGCAAATTTCCAAGTGCGTATGCTTCTACTCGGATTCAATACCATTTTTACATTCATTCATTTTGTAAGCCTAGTAACTGGGAATGCACGTTTCCCTTCAGTTGGTTGATCTGGGACAATAAAAAATATATATTTCGCTGGATATCTGAGACCTTTTTTTTTGGATTTTATTGACTACGGATTTTGATTATTACTACTGCAGAAGCAGAAGCTATCACGCGTCCCAACCGCTATTTGTTGGTCGCAACCAGTGGGGGTCTTAATCAACAGAGAACTGGGGTAATGTTTTCTGATATTCGGAGTTTGTGTTCTAATTTGCAGTAGCTATGTGTGGGAAGTATTAGCAGGGCTTTAGGCAAATGGGCTCTTGACATGTGCTGACTGCATTTTAATTTTGAATTCCCATTTAATGTTTGAACCCAATTAAGCATGTATTTATTGCTGTTATTCCTTTTTGTTGGATGTATGTCTATAACGTTTTGGTAAGCAGTAGTGAAAGAGTTAAGAAAGCCGTTAATGTTGTTGTTCTCTTCCTGACAATTGCTTTTTCTGCGGCCTATTTCATCTATTGTACTTCATTTTCTGAGAGAAACGATAGAAGTAGCTGGTCAGCAGGTGATGGAAAACTGACTACCAAAATAGAAGATCAACTTCAGGGGGCTTTCGCCTATGCCGCCATTCAAATTAATTTGGATATGACCTCCATCATATTTTGTGATCAAGAATCATGGATACTGTAAAGATTTTCTGTATTAGTCATTAGTCCATAGTCCTGCTGCAACCATGTTGAAATGCTGATTTAATCTCAAGGCATATATATTTGCATTGAAATGCTGATTCTTCTTGCTTGTCTTTGTCAGATAACTGATGCTGTTGTTGCTGCTCGTATTTTGAATGCCACCCTTGTCGTTCCAAAGCTAGATAAGAAATCCTTTTGGAAGGATTCGAGGTTAGTTCACAAATGCTTTCCTGCTAGAGTTTTGCATCTGGTATTTCTTTCTACATCTTTGACAGGCTTCTGGTCTGGATATAAATGCTGTAGATCTGATCAGCTCTTTAAAATTTTAACAGAATGAAATGAAATTTGATAAATTCCTTTGCTTCTTTGTCCTATTGCAGTAACTTTTCAGAGATATTTAATGTTGATTGGTTTATATCATATCTAGCAAAAGATGTTAGAATTATTAAAGAGCTTCCATTAAGGAGAGGACACCAATGGATTCCACACAGCATGCGAGTCCCAAGAAAGTGCAATGAAAGATGTTATATTACTCGTGTCTTACCTGTTCTTTCAAAAAAGCAGGTGAGCCTTTAAACTGGAGATTCTAACTTCTATTTTGTGTATATATACTGCCCTGGAATATGATTCCTTAATTACTGTTGTTGGAGTGTGTCTTGATGCTTAAGCATTTTGTGAACATAAACCCAATGAGGTCGTCAAGTTGTAGCATGTTGCGTTTGTTTGAGATTTGTTCTCCATTTCCCTTTAATTTGCTCCAGTCAAGAATAAGTATATCCCATTTTATGCAAGCTACCAGATGGCTCAATAGGATATTTCTTTCAGTTCTAGCAACATTATTGTGGGATTTTTTTTAAGTTAACTACTACTTGCTCAGTCAACTTGATATTCTTCATATGAGAAAACCTCCATGCAAGTTCATTCTTCCCTCCCTGATACCACTTCTCTTGGAGTAATAAGTTGTTTACAAGTCCAATATACATGTGATGTATGTGTAGAGCTCTTGATATCAAGGTTGACCACTGCAGCAATGAAAATGTCTCTTCGTTGCATTTTGAGTTCCTTGATTTAGGCTTTCTTAAGTTGGTCTTTGTTGGCTGTTATATTCCTTTTTTTTCTTCTCTTTTTCTAGGAAACATGTTAAATGAATTTGAATCCTTGTAACAGGCTATCCAGCTAAACAAGTTTGACTATAGACTTTCAAATCGGCTGGAAACAGATTTTCAAAAGCTTAGATGTAGAGTCAATTATCATGCTCTGAGGTTCACCAACCCCATAATTACCATGGGTGAGAAATTGGTTCAAAGAATGCGGATGAGGAGCAAGCACTTTATCGCCCTTCATCTAAGGTAGTCTAGATGTTCCAAATTTTGATTATATGCTGATGTATGAGTCACGTATTTGACTTTTAACTAATTATATGTTCTATTCTTGGTCCCTAGAGATTGTTTTGATCTTTCTGATGGAGTCCATTTTGGTGAGCATGTATCTATGCTACTGGAAAAACTGGGATGCATGTGGATTTTGTTCTCCAGTATCCACTTGAATTGGCCGGAGTTGCATGTACCTTAGGAGAACTTGATCGCTTCATATGTTATAATTTGTTCAGGGGTTGTCGTTATCTTGTTCTATATTGTTTTTCAACAAATTTGGAGAGAATGGATAGAAACTTCTTTTCTAATTCTTTAAGCAAAGCATGATGATATTCTGATTTGGATGACGAGGTCTAACCATTATCATCCTCAAAAATATGTAACATTACAGGTTTGAACCCGATATGCTTGCATTCTCGGGATGTTATTATGGTGGGGGAGAGAAGGAGAGGACGGAGCTTGGTAAAATACGGAAGAGGTGGAAGACCTTACATGTAAGGCTTCGAATATCATTCTTTCTTTATTTACAGATCCTTTTGGAGCCACAACACTGTTTACCTCTTGGGTTAGGCATCATATTTGGTTACTTGTTAAATTTCAATGCACGAATAATTCAAGGCATAATACCTGACAATCAGCTATGGGCGATTGGTGATATGAATTTCATATTGTCGTTTGACCTGATTCACGTGAATCTTCTTTTCCATTAGATAGCTTGATAAGATGAGTTTTATGTTAAAAAGATGGCAAGATGCAATGTTAGGACCAAAAGGCCATTCTTGTATCATGTTTTAGTTAATTCAGATCTTTATTGGTTATTTCCAGACTAGCAACCCAGATAAAGTAAGGAGGCAAGGAAGGTGTCCCCTTACTCCTGAAGAAGTAGGCTTGATGCTGAAAGCACTTGGATATGGTAGTGATGTTCACATCTATGTGGCATCAGGTGAAGTATATGGGGGTGAAGAGACATTGGCTCCACTGAAGGCACTCTTCCCAAATTTCCATTCAAAAGAGAG